ATACAACGTTGAATAGAAAAGAGAAGAAAAATAAATAAGAGTGCAAAATGGGCTATAGTATACCTCTCTCTCTCTCTGTTTTTGAACAAATGCACTACGTGTTCATCGTTGAAAATTACTAGAACTGAAAAACTAAACGTATAAGTAACTTTGTCAGGGCGTGAAACACCGCGAAACTGTCTTAAGACTTCGTGGTAAATAAAATAGATTAGTATGTTTCATTTGACAGCCAACTGTGTATCTTATATATTTAGCTTTTTTTTATTTTAGAAAAATAGCATCAAACCTATTGAAAGGCCCAAAACAAACACGTGAAAATTGCTTATGAAATTGAAAAGAGACCAATTTTAATTAAATAAAGTATAAAATATATTAAACTTTGTTTTCCATTTGTTACAAAGAGGTCATAAAACAGATCAATAGCATTAAAAGAAAACATGAAAGATGTTCTTCGTAATGCAACTTCAGAAAAGTTTTTGTACACTCAGGAGAAAAAGTCTTTAATAAACGGATGTTTATCTGTCACGTGATCAAAGTAGTAGAAACGGAAATAAGCATAAGTCAAAAATATGACATCTACGTAATCGTTTTATTTGGAAACCGCGATATCGTACAAAAAACCATTTTGGAATCATCTCATAAGTATATTTTTGTGATAAAACATTATAAACTGTATGGACATTTGTTTAGTATTTTGTATAATACTGTTGTAGATGGAGCGAGATGTAAATTTAAAAAATTATAATATTGGTGTAATGTCCAAAGCACAGGTGCATGTTTGTTTCAAAATGTTGTTTAACTTCATCATGCACCGATTAAGACTCCTTTGTGAAACATGAAAAACTAAAGTATACAATGAAATGTTTCCCCTTCATTTGCGCTGAATAATAACAAAAATTAGGGCAGAAATGATAATGCCTCTGTTTTCGAATGCACGACATATAAATTGTTGTATGACATGTCCTTTATGCTCTCAGCGCATTGAATTTCTGGCTTATATTTTTGTCGTATTCAAAAGCACTTGTTTGGCCGACTGTACGCTGTATATTATCTGTGCCACTGCACGAGACGCCTGTCAAAGCCATTGTCTACTTTTTCCACTCCGATAAACGATTGTTTTGCGTTGAAATATTTTTATTCTCTCAATGGACGATTTTGCGATTATATGTAGAATTCTCGTTAAATGAACAAGGGAAAGAGCCAATATGCTAAAATTAAAATATGGCTGTTATATAGATATAAAAGGTTTCAATTTCGTGTTTATTAGATTAAAATGTATAAATCGTTAAGTTTTCCGTCTCATGCAATGAAATAATTATTTTTAATGAATAAACATATGGATTTTTTATACTGTAATTATGTTTTAGTTAACCTAACAAAAGTATCAATTTTTAAAATATTGTGAACATTTGTATGTCAGAAGTGACATTGATACGGAGAAACTATCAACATTCCGTGGCGCGTGCGCAGACTTGGTTGAGTATTTTATATGCGCTACGCGTTTGGAACTAGACGAGCGTTTAATAGCACAAATTAAAAATATGTATAGTTCTCTAAGAGAGACTTTAATTAATTACGAAATAGTATAGGATTTAATCAGAGAATTTAATAAAAAATTGTGATATAAGTATTAGTATATAGTGACTCGTTGTAGTAGTTAAACCGTTAAAGTGTACTACTCGCGTAAACTATAGACAGTATTATAATATTCAGTTTTTCGTACATTACTTTTTTATTATTTTTTAAATGAAATTGATAAAAGTAAATAACATAAAAGTGTGCTAATCTACTCGAAATAACATTACAAGTAAAATAAGTTCAAACGCTCGTCTACAATTCACGTTCTACCGACGTTTTTAACTTTATTTTTAAGTCAATATTGTACCGCAAATTTCCTACTAACAATTCCTTTGAAAAATTATTGAATGTATTTTTATATATTCGACGAATAATGGACGTGTCTGTCTAACAACATTATTTCCCAGAAGCATATTTCATTCGATAAGAAATAAGAAAGATATCCGAATTGGAAATGTGACTCATTAATTATGATTTTAGCAGTTTTTGTTAGTTGTGGAACATGGGACGAACACTTTACTGTGTCCGTTCCACTGATTGAAGTTGTTGTTGACAACTTCAATCAGTGGCTAGTATTTAATCAGGCTTCTGTGCCGTGCCCGACCGAAACCATTCATCGTTTCTTTCGATCTCTACTGCTAAACGCAAACACTACAGTAGCAGTATTTTTATAGCTTGTACTTATTCTATTTTTAAAATAGAACAGAACGAGAGATCCCGGATTCAGGATTCTGTCAACCATTGTCTAACAATTTAACGACTGTCCCATCCATTCTACTAACATCCATCTCAGATTTAAAAGCCATCACCAGCTGCTTCGTGCAAGTCGGCGGTCTTAAACAACAACCGCAACAAAATTTGTTAACATTTCTCCGAGTTTTGCATTGGTGATAACTCCCATTTTCTCTGTATCCCACTATAGTCCGGTATTTGGTTGGTATCATAAAATTTAACTCTGTACCTATTCCGCAAGCAAGTGTAACTGTAATAAGAATAACGACTAGACCAAAGAGGTAGGTTGCAGCGAAAACAACAATTTACATAAATACTGGGCAATGTAAATATTTTTTTATTTACATATTATTTTTAATCTACCCTTGGAAATTGAATAATTTCTTACAATGCTCATATTCACAATATAAAGTGTAACTCATTTTCGAACGTTTTATATCGTTAAAGTTGCAGGAAGTTCCTACGAATTCAAGGTCTATGTTATCAGAGAGATCGTACACTATTTTAACATACATATAATTTTTACATAATAGATTTTTAAAGAGATTTTGTTAAAGTGGTTAAACTAAATCTAAAGTCATACTACAAAATAACATTTAAAATTTACGAGTACCATAATTACGGCTGTTGTTGGGTCGTATGCAAAAATAATGTGACTAATATAATATCACGCTTAAAAGGGATTTTAATTAAAGATAAGATTAACAAGTGGAAATCCGTTTGTAATCTTCGCGGTAAATTGACCCAAAATATTGAGAAATTGTTGGCTTCTGCATAAAAAAATCTATTCATCATGTAAATATGACAGATCGCTGGATACCTAACTGACAGGTCCGCAAATACACAGCTAATACAGAAACTAAATAAAGTGATACGCACTTTGTTTACACAATATATTATTATAATAATATTCACATTAACTATTGTTTTATTACTTGTACATATTACTATTTAATTAATGCATATATAATACATTAACTAACCCGTAGTGGAAACAGTACAGTATAGACTGTGTATAGAGAGAAAAATCTGGAAAGAGTTTGATCATCCAGAGATCATCAAAGTCCTCTCACAGCAGAAACGGAATTATCCACTTCTCTTGATAGCAGCCACGAAAGCAGTAATGAAATGAGTCAAAGAAAAAATCTTAGAAACCTTTTAAACGGAAATCCAAAGGTCATACCGTTCGTTTCTTGATATTTAGTATAATTGTTTTAGCACAGGGCGTAAAATCCTATTAACGTATAAATTAGTAATTTACCTGTGTTTACCGATGACCTCATTTCATAAATTAATTATTAGTTTAATAAAAAACACACCCACACTGTCTGGACCACACAGTACAAAAATTTCTTCATGGAATACTTTTTAACGTTGAATTTAGGAAAAACTCTAAATTATCGAGATTTACCAAAAATTAATTCAGTACCAATTAATTTTTCTTCTTTGCTAATAGTGGTCTTAGAAGACGGACATCCTGTGTTGACTTTGATGAGTGTGAATAAATGATTTTGAGTCCAAACATACTCCCCTTTACTAAATAAAATAAAATAAAAAAACCAAATATGTAAAACCGTAATAAAAACAAGCAATCTAAATACTTATGTAATTAAAATGCAACTGGCAAATTATTTTGTGCAATTATACGGGCTCGAACCGACTTGGATTTTTCCACTCTGCATTCTAAAAATACGTGCATGCAAAACAAACATTATGCATTGTGTTTGTTTTATCACTAAATTTTAAATATTTTAATGTCTTAATTTTCTTTGTTAAGTATACAGCTGAAGAGTTTGTTTGACCGCGCTAATCTCATGAGCAACTGGTTCGAATTGATAAATTGTGTTGGGTGGGGCTTTTAACAAGGAAGGATTTAGGCTAAAAAACTTCTCTCTGCGACCAACAGTAGCGCAGAAACAGAAGGAAATGTGGAAACATACGTGGCAAAATATTAATCTGCCTGCGAAAGTGTTTCAAGATATCATTGTGTGTTAAAAAATATGTATGAACAACGATTCCTCTTTAAATGATCAAAAGACGAAGTCGCTGGCACAGCTAGTCGCTAGCAGTCAGCCTTCTGATTTATTACTTTAGTGATTTTTCCGTATTTATTCTATACCTTATTGTTGACGCGCCGACGGAATATGGTTCATGAAAACGGCCCAGAGACAGTCAACCGGTGAAGCACTGACATACTTATGGACCCTATTCTCCGAAAACTTATAAATCATTTATTGTCAGATCCCTAACACTATTAGTTTATGCAGCGGTCATATATTAAGATATTAGGAGGTTTGCAAACGTCAAAATTAAACGAAACAAACACTTTATAATTAGCTCATACTAACCTTTTAATAAAGTAATTCATTTGAATAAAATAATAAAGCTTTAGTTTTTTTCTGTTATAACGTAAAAAAAAATACAAAGTATGTTTTTGTGTGCGTGTTTTAAACTTAATATAAGTTATAGCGTTTTGTTAGTTCTGGTTTTAAAAGCAGTTTTTTTTCTACTATTCACGCTCGGCTGACAACCCCCACCGGTCGTTGCCCATATTTGTACCTACCAAAAAATGTGTGATCCATTTATATAACCTTAATGAATGTGCGCAAGTTTTACATCTTATATAGGAGAAAAAAAATCTTGCGCCGTGATTTTTGCTACCGCCGCGTTCCTGCGCGAACGCATGTACAATGTTATTTATTGTATTAATTGGGCTGTTCTGTGAGTGCTGTGCTTTGTCCAACTACTATGAGTCTTATACCGGAAATAAGATAACTGAGGAGGAGTATAAACAGCATGTGAAAAGGAATACTTCTTTGTAAGTGAATAATAATAAACGGTTAAAACTGTTTAGACGAGCTGTGGGTTCGATCTCCGACGGGTCCAACGTGCTTCCAATCAATTTATAATTTTTCTGAAACTTGTTGGACTTCGTCTGGATATTTAATAGATAGTAGAAATATCGGATGAAAAAAAATGAAATTTAGTATCGTCTCGGTTTAAGTCTGTGGATTCGAAGTCAAAATATCTAAAGACTAAATAGGTAGACAGTGCATCTTGTGACCTATCATCGAGTGAACCCATGATTGTCTGTCCCTCTCTATCATAAAAAAACTGGAAATATAACCTCACGTTTCTGATGATATACAGAATCCTGATCACGCATAACATATCCGCATATCTGCAGACTGAAACTGCAACGCGATTGAAGTTAAAGAGTTTTTCACCTGAGGACGATGGTTCTTGACCCGGAAGAATTTTTGATTTTCTTATTATCTAATTTGTTTAGTTAACGTAAGTTGTACACAATTAAATCAAACACTTTTAACGGTTAAAAACGCGAGATGTATTAATTAATTAATTTTTAATTTAATTTCAATTCCTTGGGCTGAAAGTGTATTAATATCTTTTTCGTTTTAAACCGTTACAACTGTTTTATTTTAAAGTGTACCACTCGCAGAAACTACAGACAATATTCCAATACCTTAAGTTAAATATTAACTAAAATATAAATACAATATCAACTTTATTGCGAACTATATTTCTCTTAGCTGTTATTGTTTTATAAATTATATTTTTATAATAGGGAATTACCGAATACGTATAGACAAGGATTAATTTAAAATTAATTAACATATCTGCTTAATAACTGAATCTTTCTTCCTTATCGCAGAGAACCATGTTTTAACCGTTACTATTTTTTGTCTAAAAAGAGGTTATTAAACCTTTTAAACTTAAAATTGAAATCTAAATTAACGGAGGCTATATTCTGGTCGATAACCTGCATTGTTTATAAAAAGTTAATTGCGCGTATCAAAAAAACGGATTTTTATCACCAACTTTTTTTAAAAGGTCCTGTTTATAATATATGCATAATTATTAATAAAACAAGTATGAACTTAAAAAAAAACTTAATTTAAAGGGTTTTATTTTTTGTACACTGAAACAATACAAACAATTTAAAATTTTGACATAATCATCGTGTTTTACTAGTGTAAATTTATATTTAAATAAAACACTTTAACGACATCCGAAACGTCGGGCCGCAGTTAAAAATCATTTTAAAATAAGTTTAACTATTATATCACGTTTTAAGCCGTTAAAGTGTTTTATTTCAATGTGTACTACTCGCGTAAACTATAGACAGTATTTAGTGTAGCTACCCATATTGAGGGGGGTTAAGGAAAAATGATGTAATCCGCCATTTTGTATCGGCGGCCATCTTGGATTTATAAAGTTATTGATTTTATTATATTATAGTACTTTCATCTAAATTAAATGTGTGTACTGAATTTCAGGTCAATGAAATTTATTATTGAAATTTTACGTCGAGCTAATAGAACCGTTTAATATTTAGACACTTATTAGAATAACACAACGAACACATACAGATTGTTTTTATTTCTTACTTCTAGAGGTTTAAGGAACTATGAATCCACGCTAAATAGTTAACTTTTAGTTAAGTTTAATTAGTAAGCAATATTATTATTACAATAAATAAAGTTATTTTATATTTAATAACACAATATGTATTTTTTTTATAATTGAGGAGAACAGACAAACATTGAGATCACTTGATTTTCTCCGTTTTCCACATTTTTCACTGTTTCTTCGCTGGTATTAGTAGCAGCGTAATCTTATCTAGCCTTTCTAGATAAATAGTCTATCTGACACTTTAGTTCAGCTTTAAAATATTAGTATAGATGTTACTGAATTAACAGCTGGTGCACCGTCGAGGTCCTGCCATGTGATCCACGCGAAGGTCGAAGGATCGATGGGTCTTGCAACAATTTGAAGTACTTTACAATTGGTTCAAATCGCACGCCAACATATAGAATGCTACCTGCTTCCTACAGCGAAGGTTGGTTATCTTACTTTTAAAATTACGTTCGATGTCCACCGGGTCCCAAGACGTATTCTAATCAATTTATATTTTTTCTGGAACATGTTAGACTTCGTCTGGAAATATGGATAGTAAATGGGTTGTAGAATTAATTCCGTCCGGGTTGTGTATTGAACTTCAACAAATTAGAAAGCGATGAAGTTTAATCGCGGTTCGATTACAGTCTGTGTATTCCCGAATATTCAAAGCCAAAATAGGTCAATAGCGCATCTGTACCTAGAGTATTTTAACCCCATGATTGTCCGTCGCAGGTTTTGAGCCGCGGCTAAGTAAACGTGGTGAAACGATGCCCTTAGCTCGTGCTGTAAGAACCAACATCTTGCTGGAAGGTCATGTCCCAGATCGGCAGTTCACGCAGATGCTAACACACTTTCTAGTCTTCATCGTTGGAGATTTTGTGTCTGTTCAGGACACGAGTAAGTATTCTTTTTTGTAAGAATAAAATAAGTGTCAAAGATCCATATAGGGTCGGTAGTTTACGCGAGTAGTACGTATTTATAGAAATAACACATTAAACGTTTTAAAACGCGAATTATATAAGTTAATTTATTTTTACTACGGCTGGAGGTTTTATTTAGGAGGCGGTATGACAGTTGGAACGAATACATTTCGCGTTTGGAACCGTTTCTTAGTTAATTAATTATTTTATTTAAACATCCATACAGAGACGAATACTTTAAAAGAGTTATAATAAAATCCACATTTAGGTCGTAAAATAAGGTCTCAAAGTCAAAACGAAATATTCATTACAAGTATTACTTTAACTTAAATAGTAACCGTAATGCTACATAATACGATATTTATTAATATCTTAATGAACTGATTATCTAACTGATTTACAATTTCTGTCTTTCTCTCTCTCTCTCTATCTCTTTGTCTTCCTGTATGTTTTCAGTAAACTACGTGCTGTGGACACCATATTGTTGTACTGAGAAGGGCAAGAGTGACTACATGTGCACGCCGAACTCCGTCCCTAACGACGATCCTGTGCACAGATTCTCAAATGTTCGCTGCTTGAACATGACGAGACCGGGATCGTACCAGAGAAACGGCTGTGCCCCAAACAATACTGTGCCTGAGCGGGTAATATTTGGATATTAAAGTATTAAAATAATAAAACTATAAAATTAACTACGCAAAACAAAATTTTTTGCCACCTATAGTTAATTATTATATATGTACAAGGTGTAGTATAATAATAAAAATTCAAACTAGTATATTATTAAATACTCTATTCTTGTTCAATTATCTTTTAAATTATTCACCTTGGTAAAGAAACTGAAGGAAATCCGACTCGGAATTTTACAGACAAGGTCCGACGGAAGTTTGTAATAGTTATAATAAGTGATGTGAATAAAAATGTTAAAAATCTCTGAATCCTAATATGGACTTTATTCTGTTATGTTAATGTTAAAATTATCTTTTGATAACCTTATAGTATGTAAAAAGATGATTTTAAATAATACCGTAAAACAAAAAAGAGTTGACACTATTAGGCGGGGAACTAACAGAAATGTATACAAATTTCCTGAAACAATAATATATAAAACAAATAAGTGAGAAGTAACGATACAATACAGGCAAATATATGTATATTTTTTTTGTTTTGACATCTATTTAACGTTCTATTACTTAAAGGTTTATTTCTCATAACATTGCTGCAATTAAAAATTTTGGTGTTATATTTTCAGACGATTTCAGGAACGCCATCATTCGATTTGTCCAACATATACGGTAACAGTATGGCGTCTTTGAACGAGAAAGGGAGACTTTTTGAAAAAGGTTTACTAAAGTACGAAATAGAGGACGGTAAAATGTGGCCACCTAGTATTAAGGGACCAAATTTGTGTTACGCGAATCAACCACCGCGCGAAACCAGATGTCATGATACACGTAAGTCATTTAAAATATTTTTTTTTAACAGAAGAGGACTAAAAAGAAGGGCGCATGTGGAAAGTTAAACAGAAAACCCTATAGAACATCTTGGCGATACGGAAGTATTCTTTTAACATTTGGAAATCTACTGATGAAAACCAAAACGCCAATTTTCACAGCTTTTCAGTTTTTGAACGGTGGTTTGTGACATGGGAGGTCGTTATTCCACTCTCCATTTAATATCTTGACTTTCTACAAATATGTTTTAGAAAATTTTTATGATTTTCCTTCCCTTAATGGCAGTCTATTCTAAAACTGACTTATTATTTACTGAGGTATTACTTAAGACCCGGGTAATCCAGGACAATGAGTCTTGAAACTTACGTGTATAGGATAGGTATAGGAATGATATCCCATTATCTGTTATTAATCAAGTTTCTTTATAAATACGGTCTGTAGTTTACGCGAGTAGTGCACATTTAAATAAAACAATTTAACGGTTTAAATCGCGATATATATTAGTTAAACTTATTTGAAAATTATTTTTAACTACTATCTTTATATTCAACTTTCATTGTACAATGTTTGATATATTATATAAAATTTTGTAGCGGAACGTGGATCAAACGCAATCGTCGGAGCAAATATAATAACAATTTGGATCTGGCGATACCACAACGCAATTGCGACTGCCCTAGCCAATATCAATCCTTGCTGGAATGACGAAAGACTCTTCTTCACCACCAGGGAAATAGTCATCGCTGCAATCATTCAGATATTCTACTATGAATTGTTACCTTTGATGATGGGTATGTATCCAGTGATCACTTTTATAACTCAATTTCTATATTGTTTCTGGTTAGAACTACGGAAGAATGATAAATTGTTTCTTTCGGGCAGAGCAGAAGACAGACGTTTGATCAACTACTGTAATCACATAGATGTGTTTGCCCCATGCCCCACAGGAAAAAATGGTTTGTATATATCTGATTTCAGGTCGCGATAACCTGATCCGAGATGGTGTTATTTCCCCGGATTTGGGTTTTAGAGACATCTACGACAGCAACTATGCTCCACAAATTTCCCTGGAATATCCATTTGCCTGGAGATGGACACACACAATACAAGAAGGGAATATCAAGTACGTATATATTTACATTGGTTTAGTAACTTTCTAAGATCAAGTTAACTGATAGAAATTACTGCCTCGTTGGTTTAGTGGTTAGTAGACTAATGTTGATTAGAGATTCGGGTTTGATCTCCGGATAAGTTATTGTTAGTTTAATAACTTAACGACCCTACGGTTTTGAAGGAGAGAGCTCGGAATGCCCACAGTTCTCGTTCATCACCATTAATTTGTGACGTTTGTAGTCGTTAAAACCCGACAACCTGCATTAGTGTGATAATTGTAATCTCTTCTACAGAAGAACGAGAAGAGATTACAGTATAACTGTTATAACTTAATAATATTTTTTTTGTAATATTCCAGAATGTATGACAACAAGGGGTACCACTTAAAAGACATGAAATTGGTCAACATGACACTGAGGACTGCCTACGTGGTTGAGAATATCGATGGCATCACTCAAGGTGCCATAAGACAACCAATGGCTAAATTTGATAAGGCTGTTGATTTTGACGTAAGTCTTTCAATTATTAACTTAATACATGTATAATATATTTATTTCGCAATTTTTAAATTATTAATTAAAAGACAACAATTTTCGTTGTGACAAAACTTACAAAGATCTAGTAGCGTAACATAAGTTATCAGTTCAAATTATTGTTTGAAATATAAACTTACACTAAAACCAACACAATATAATTATTTTTTTATACCAATATTTAATATAATTTTGTGTAAGACCTGATTCTCTGAGAATTATATTAAAACGAATGATACACTAAAAATAAGGCCAATATATTTTTCAATCAATAGATTAGAGATTTTTGAGCAGCCATATTTTAAATAGTTAATAGTGCTTGTTTGTCTTATAGAGCTTTTATTTAATTGAAAAGGTATTTTAATTATATGATTAATTATTTTAGATGGCTGAGGTTGTTTTAGGTCCTCATCAGTACGCGAGTGACGTCTTCACCAGCGACCTGGCTAAAAACCGCTATTTCTTCCTAGCACCTTACATAAAATACAGGGAGTATTGTTTTGGTGAAAGAATACGGAGTTTTGATGATCTCGTCCATATGTTTGACCCCGATGTAAGCAAAAACGTTTAAAACAGTTTCATAAATTTAGTACATTCCTATTACATAAAAGTCACGTTGCATGTTTTATGGAGATAACATTTAATTTCTAAAAAATTTTGTTTTTTTGAATGTAAGCTAAATTAGCTTAAACATTCAAAAATGAACAAATACATTACATAGCGTTCAAGAACCGTTTGAAATTTAAAGGTTATTATTATTTAATTACTGGTAAAAATATAAAAAAAAAATTATATAAACAAATCCATTGTTAATGGTTAAAACGCGAAATATTTCATAAATATTTTTGAAAATAAAAACACGACGAAATCTTTTCCAGAGCATAGAACTTCTGAAAGAGTCGTACAAGGATGTCGAAGACATAGACCTCATAGCCGGTATGTGGTTGGAAAAGTACATCCCTGGTGGGACTGTACCAGGTACCTTCTACTGCATAATTGCTCAGCAGCAACTACGGTCTGTAGTGTCTGATAGACATTGGTACGAGAGACCAAATAGACCTAATGCCTTCACTCTTGGTAAGTTCTCCAAATATATGTAGATATTTTATTCCTAGTTACTTGCTTATAAAAGCAGCATATGTATATTGCTGTTAGTTTCTAGAATATAGCTCATGTAATAAATTAATCTAATCTATTAAAAAAAAGGGTATTCAACGTAGTTGGTCCAATAGCAGCAATGTAAGGCTAGTTATCGACGAGTCGTTGGTTTGATGCCCGGGTCTCCAACATGTTTCTAAAATAAATGCTAGTAAAATCTCGTTTTCCCCCGGTACGGGACGTATACAATTCTGTGTCTGTTTCACTGATAGGTTTTTTTACAGACAGTATCAGATCTCTGTGGCCGACCGAAACAATTTATTGTTCTTTTACAGCCGATTGAATACAAATGAAATGTAAATTTTTCTTAGTTTGAGTCTATAGATTACCGAGCAAGACAGACGAAAAATACACATCAACAAAGCACATATTTTTTACATGCTATAAGATGTTTTTCCCCCCTAGTGCTTTTCATCGTTGCTTGTCCCTTTCTATCATAAAATGTTTTTGAACCAGATCAATTATTGGAGATACGAAAGTCGTCAATGGCTGGACTCTTGTGTGCCGTGGGCGACTCGATAACAGAAGTACAACCTCACGCCTTTGTCAGAGCCGGACCGGGGTACGTATAGTTCAGTTTGAATATATTTTCAACATTTTCTTTAATACTAACTCAATTCTGCAATTTTCAGAAATGAAATGCGTGACTGCACTCAAATTAAGCAGTTGAATATGCTGGCGTGGCGCGACAAAAGCTGCAGAGTAAATCAATGGGGAAAATAATAGAAAAAATATTATATAAAAAATAATGCATAATACTTTTACAGTGAGAAGGTCTTTTATTTATCCTATAAATGTCTTTGAAACATATTTTGGTCAAAATTTAAAACAACCTGTTCCATTTCGTTTTGTCGTCCTTCTTTTTATTTTTCTCTAAGCATCTATTATGTTCATTCATCAATGTGAATATAGACCTTGACACCAAAATATATTTTTTATGTCAGAAAACGGACACGTATGGGTTTCACTCGATAGAAAGGTGAAATGCTCCAGCAGTATAAAATCTAAACGTGATATTCGGAAATCCACAGACCGTACCACAGACTGGACCGGAACTGTGGACAGTGGTTCCTAATTTAGGCGGAATTTCGATATTCCTGCTACCCATTTAATGTCCTAAAGAAGTTCACATGTTTCTAGAAAATATAAATTGATTAGAAAAATGTAAGGACCGAATCCACGACCCGTTTATTATTAGACATACAATACACGAACAAGCTAGCTAGAGATTAAAAAACAATTCTTTAATTATAGACAGGAAACGCGAAAAACTAAGTAGTCCCATAAAATTACCATAAAGACTAGTTTCCCATTTTCAAAATATTCTAATTGAACTAATTTGCATTTTAATGGGAGGAAAGTTTTTGATAAGACTTCCTTTCGAAGTTTCCCTTTGTGTATCTTTCTATTGAACTTGCAAGAACTTCAAACTACCTTTTAGCCGCAAATTATTCGATCTGTTATTGCAGATGTCTCGTTTCTTTTGGACAGAACAATTTTTCCTTTTGCTCTACGCGCCATAGCCATAGCCCATAACCGAGCATAGGTCGAATAAAAGAAACATTATATATAATAACAGAATAATAATAACGTTTGATGTGTTCATTTATTCTAATGTCTGTAGCTAATCAGTGTTTGCTTATTCGAAAGAGGGTTTCTGAGCCCAAACTGGACTGATTTTAATATAAAAATTTCGCAAATGTGCCTAAAACATGCTACGCCACATTCTCTTAAATGTAATAAGTCTAGCGGCATATACTATATGCTATGTTCATTTGTAACTTATATTTCTTGCAAGACTCAAAGAAAGTTAGATTGAAGAAGGAATTATGAAATTAAACTTTTTGTTTCAAAACGTTTATATGCGATAAGTTATGCACAGAGAGTCAATTAAAGTATTTAGTAACATCATTGCTGTTAGGATAAAATATTATAAGACTTTTCGATACTCCTGTACGATATCCAGTCGACGTAACCTTGGCATGAAGCAGAAAAATTGTAGGAGAGAAAATCAGCACCCGAAACCGTATACAATCGTTCCGTTATAATTAAACCTAGCAAATAACCTATTTCACAGATTTGCACAGAGCAGCAAACAGTCTGTGTTGACAGAGACTTAATCCCTCGGTTACAGCGCAATATTTCTTCGGGCCGAGTTTAATATTTCGACTTATCCTCTCTGAATGCGGGTTGTCTGCGAACTCGCGGTTATTAACTTGGGTTTAGGTAGGAATTGACGCTTTATTGATGGCCTAAAACGAGAATGCTAATATTATCTAAGGAGAAAAAATATACAAAGTTACATAAAAAAATATGCTTTCATGTGCAATTACATGTAAAAATAATAATAAAGTTTTCAAGTTTAAGTTTAACTACGATGTATCGGAATTCGTATTAGAGTTTCACGGCTTCTTGCAATAATACTTGAGATGTTATGAATAGTACTTGAGTAAGTGAGTCCGAATCGTACTTGACTGATGTGGTCGTATTTGAGAAACAGTTCTTGACGTACGACGCGCTTGGACGACGAAAGCGCGGTTGAACGAATTATTTATCAATTACGACGATATTAATTCAGTGTATTCTACAAGCTGTTATCTTAATTGAAATCGTTTAGAATTCATTTAAATTATTTGATCTTTATTCTAGCTTCATATTAAAATGTAATAACGGAACAAATATCGAAGAAAATCACGTAGGGATATTCACGAAATAATATTGTCGATTCAGCTCACAACACGCACAAATCGGTTTACATTTACCGACACGACCCGAGATCAGGGACGTGACCGCGTTATTGAGGATTTTGCATGTTTATGTGTTTATTTCAAGTGTAATAACTGCAAAACCGATGTGCTCTCAGGATTTCCTATACGGGGTAATAGAATGGCATGGAGCGAACACTTTTTTGTATCCGTTTCGTTCATCGAACATATCAAATGCCTATGATTAAAAATCTGTATTCTGTTGAAACAATTTAAAAGCTTTAGATTCAAACTGAGGACCTTTTGTTTCTAACTATTTATAAACTAATTTAAGAATTGGGTACTGTCCGTAGTTTGCGCGGCTATACACATTCAAATAAAAACAATGTTTATAATTTAAAATGCTACATAAATTATTTAAAAATCGAAAATACATTGAGCAAATTTTCGACTCGGGCGGGGCTTCAACCGCCCCCCCCCCCCTTCCCCTTCCTTTGGCTCGGTAGCTCAATTTGGAGAGCAACAGCGCGGAACGCCTGACGATGCCGGTTCAAGCCCTGCCAGCGAAAATTTTTTCAATTTATTTTCGATTTTTAAATTGTATGCCTTCATGTGCAATAACATGTGAAAAATATTAATGTTTTCAAATGCTACATAAATTACTATCTTTTTGTTGTTTTATTTAAATCTATATAAAATTCAATTTGTCCATTACCACGTCTCTGCAAAACATCGGAAGCTCAGTAGTAATTGAATTAAAAATAAGTGAGCTTATATGTCTCGCATTTATACTGTAAAAGTGTTTTTATATTAGAAATAATATTGAATGTTATAAGGATAAACTCACTATAATAAATCAAATCGTGCTCTATCACTTCAACTACGCGACCACTCTGTTACTAGTAGTTTTTGATATAAGGATGGAAAGAGGAGGTCCTTTAATATGACAATGAGGTAATGAAATTAAAATGGCGTCGTATTTTATAAAATTTGAAAAAATGAATTTTATAAAATTACTATTTTACAAAATTAAATTATGAAATAGTGTCCTTTCACCGAGATTAATATTTCGACATGATGTCCGACAGTGCCGCCGCGGGGTTGCACACTCGCCAGGGAAGGATTCTAAACCATTTTTAAATGTACACAATTGTGATTAAATCACAGTCGGACAGTGTTATTACTAACATGTGTCAAAAACGTTTTTTACATTTTCTTTCTGATATATTCGAGTTTATAGAGATAGTCTATTGTATTAACGATATGTAAACGGTCTCCTGACGGACATAAAACGCGATTACTTTATTTAAAAAATTCATTAGTTAATGTATTTACTATCACTGAAAGATTACGAAATATGGGAGAAAATATTTAAAATTAACCCACATATAACAATTTAAAATTTTTAGAAAAAGTATTACTTATTCGTATTTATTCTAGACTTTCGGAGAATTATTATATTATTTTACTTAAGAGTCCATCCCTGGCTTGTGATATCATCGTTTATTGACGCTGCATTTTATAACGTCCGCGTAAACATCGATGATGGATTGAGGGACTTCTCTCTAAAATATTTTGTACAACTCTTCACCTCACAGCATTCGATATTTCAGTTACGGAATTTGGGTATTTTTCTCCATCAGTTTTCGCTTAAGAATTATTTCTACTCTCCCTATTCAATGATTTAACTCGTTATATAGAGTTATATAAAGCTGAAGAGCTTGTTTTTTTATTTGAACGATCTAATCACAGAAACTACTTTTTTGTGTTGGTCAGAACAGTAGAAAAAGAACGGGGAAAATTATTAATTTTGTGGACAGTCCGATGCATACGCTGCGAAAACAGTTTTTGATAAAGGAAACGAAATTTTGATGCCCAAAATAAATATTCTATGCGGACAAAGTCGCTGACACAGCTAGTCATAGATAAACCTTAACTGTGTACCTACACATTGAACACTTAAATCAGTTTAAAACGCGAATAATTAAAGGTATTTGTGACACTGCTTCACTCTTATTCTATAGCGACCCGGCCCGACTTCGCTCGGGTGCAATGCTGATACTAAATACACTAAGGAAAACTGTGAACGTTGTATATAAAAACCTTCTTGAATCAGTCTATCTATAAAAAACCGCTTAAAATCAGTCGCGTAGTTTGAATGATTAAACCGCATATAGGGACAAAAAACCGACTTTGTTTTATACTATATAGTGATTTATTTGAATAATTTATTTCGGGGTCACCGGTGGGAGGTCGGATTGTCAGTCCAGACACTATGTTGACACTATCATAGACTTCCCAACGTCCCCTTGGTGGGGGATTTTTGGCTTATGATTCATAACTATTTACATTTATAACTTAAAGTACAGAAACAAAGTGTATTTGTTCGTCCAAGTCTACGAGTGTTAAATTTAATTATGAATGAAATGTATTCATTTACGAAAACTAAACTAATCATTAAATGAAAGGGCCCGGACGGCGTCTCATTAATTAAACCTAACCGCAGAGCAACATTGTATCAACAATGATAAAATTCAACAAAAACACAAACAAATCTCGCCGCCGAAATAGAATTTAGAATTATGCAAATTGTTGCAAATCCAATGAGCAAAGATTATTATGGAGATCTGGCTGTTTTATGGCATAATTAGTTATTTTAGAATACCTTGTTTTATTAACATTCTCCGTGGTTTACGCGAGTATTGCACATTAAATTAACGGTTTATCCTTATAAAAATATAAGTGATTTTACTAAGCTAAGACAACTAGATAGTAGATACGTACCTACGTACGAAATATTAATAAAGAGTTTGGTTGGCTTATCAACTACCTTTTTTCAGAATTTGTAAGTTATTTGTGGTACACATTTTTTTATTTATGTGTTCCACAATTGATTAAGTGCCTTGGAGTAAAGGTTCATTTAAGGAATATTAAACTCTATGTCTAAGATGCACTGTCGACCCATTTTAGCTTTGGACTCACGAATTAAAACCAACACGATTAAACTTTACGTTTTTT